ATGAAAACAATTATTATTATAACCAATTGTACCAGTGAATGTTTTACTGTGCTCGCTTGTTTAACTGTGCTAATGATGGACATATTGTACTATCACTACTCTCCATTACTTTTTCCGCCGATTGTGACCTCGTACGTTCGTACTCTTGCACGCTGATTCCACTTGTACTTGTTTTGACACGATCTTGGTATACGTTCAATACCACGAGACAGCCAACGAAATAAATCTGGTTACGTTCAATCTTCGCCTTTTGATTTGTTTGGCACGCGTTCAAATGCTTAAGTCATCCTGTAGATATCAAGGGTTTTAAATCTGATATGAATCGCTCAACTCCACTGATACAAGCTCCGTCACTTACGAATATCTGAAGACTCAGGTTATGGTTTGGTACTGTTCAGTTTTATTTCTAACTTAACGAAAGTATTATCTCCACTTTTTGACTTGGTTTCTAATAAAGTCTGTATATGGACAACGACACGATGATATACTAAAGAAAGCTTTACAGTTTTTAAATGGTGAGGCCGTCCTTAGAAAGATTATGCCGACTGAAAAATCATTCCTTACAACAGATGTATCTCTATTGGGGTTAGGTACGGTTTTCGATCAGAGTAGGAAGCCTCCTATTTTTATTTCGAGTCGATTAAGGGTGTAAACAAGGATATTCCTAAACTCAAAAGAAGGCTTTAGCTGTAGTATTGGCAGTAAAGAAACTGCATAAATATTTGTTAGATGTAAAATTCCATATTGTAACTAATTACCAGGCGTTAAAATTTATTTACCATCCAGCTAAGTTACTTCATCGGTCATCCGCGGTCATAGTCCAGAAAAGGAACTTAGAGTTGAGTGCTTATGATATCACCACTAAACAAAGAGTGGACAAAAGCACACCACATGCAGATTTCTTCCCACGCCATTCATATTTCTTAGAATCACCAAACGAAAGTAATTTAATGTTTGTTCAGCCATTACTTTTAAATATACCGGAACTTGCAAGGAATACTTTAAAATAATTTGAATACATACAGTGGAGAGGTTGGAATATTCAGTGTAAGTCCAAGTTTCCTGAGCTTTATAAAGGGAGAAAAATATATCACTACACCCTGAGGATTTATTTTGTAATTTATTGATAGAGCAATCATTCTCCCTACACGCAGATTTGCAGTTTTAGACGAACTTCATATTGCCCATCTGGGAACAGAGAAAATGAAATCAATTGCTCGTCAGGCTTCCTAGTGACCTGAGACTGATACTACCATAACTTGAATATCGGAATTGTGTTCTGCTTGTATACACAAGCTATCGTATAGTGGAAGTATCTGGAATCCTTGGTCTGCATCTTAAGAATCATGGCAATGTATTTGTGCGAATTACTGTGATATATTTTTAAACATATATTGTGCTATAGTTATCATTGATTCATATTGCGAATGGCCGGAAGTGGTACACACGAATAGTCCCAGCGGACATTTAACTCAAAGAGCGAGGGAAAAGATATTTAATAGTGGAGGAAATCTTAATGTGTTAGTTGCGGTAAAGGAACGTACCGCATAGAAGACCTTTAACAGCTGACTTACTGATATTGCGTGCTGCCATCTATTTACAGATAAAAGAAATCTTCAGTCTAACTGTGATATCCATTTTGAAGGTTTTGTGTGTGAAAATCCTTTCATGTATACACATATAATTTGTTCCTATAGATTCTTTCAGTTGTACATCTTGTTAGTCTCTTTTGATTCCGTATGAGGTGGTAATATGTGCATTTTATTATAGTTTTAATTTTTTTACTCCGTCACTGAGTTTCCATGTTTCTACTTGTACCACATTTATGCTGTTTAATTGATACTTAGTTTTGGCGGTAGCTATATTGGTTTGTTCCTCCTTTGATTGTGTTGCTTGCATTGACTGAAATCGTTCATTTTTGATTGTGAATTGAAGCACTATTCCAGATTTGGAAACACTGTTACAAAGCAACCAAATATTATCTTTCGAACGAATCTGTTCGTGATCTATCCAGAAAGAGTAAAACAACACTAATTTGTGGCTCTTGGTAATTTTCTTACATTCTTTATCAACTTTTTTATTGTAATTTGGATCAACTTACTAGTTAGACAATCATTGATTGAATGACTGGGTGGTAATATTTGTTTGTGTAATAATGTACATTTATGTTTATAATGAAATCTAGAACCGCCATTTACCCAATCACCTTGTTTTAGTTTCAACTGGGCAATAGCGCATATCTAAACTACCTAGAGAGTTATTCTTCAGTCTCAACCTTAGTTTGCATTCTCACTAACGATTTCCCAGAAAATTTCGTTTGAACTGCAAACAGTGCTATCAAGTGAGTGAATCCAAGTGATCTAGAAGAGCTGGAAAAACGCATTGATACTTCTTTGTTTCAACATTCAGCAACTCATGACAGTTCGGCAAAGCACTTTAAATATCGCATACTTGGAACTCATTTAGTGAGCAGAAGATCATCAGAAGTTCATTTTTACCAAAAAAGTGACTACTGACTCTCTGCAGGGATTATAATGCAGAGAATGGATAGTTATATGGCAATGAGTTTTAGTTAGATTGGTGATTCAATTTACAGCAGACACAGACAAAGTAAAGGTTAGTGAAGTAGGTGATTCCAGCTTTAGTTGTGACCAATCTCTAAATAATCCTAAGAGTGTAGGTAATTCTGATCTTCGGATAGATAGTTTCAATTTTAATAATCATAATTCCCTTGTTAACAATTGTAAGATCCATTTTGAATGTGTTGTGTGTTTGTGAAAATCCCTCCATGTATATACTTACACTTTGTTCCTATTGATTCTTTTAGTTGTACATTGTTAACTTTTTGACTACATTTGAATTGTTAATATTTGTATTTTATTATAGTTTCGTTTTTACTACACCTTCACTAATTCCCCATGTTTCTTCCCGAACTGCACTTATGTTGTTTTACTTTATACTAAGTCTGGGCGGCAGCCATTTTGGTTTGTTCCTGCTTTTGATTGCTTGACCTGTGTTGACTGGAATTGTGCATTTTGGTTGTGAATTGAAGCACTCTTCCAGAATTGAAAACACTCTGTGTTATAGAGCGACCAATTATTACCTTTTGAACGAATCTGTACGTGATCTATCCAGACAGGATAGAATAACATTTATTTGTGGTGATTGGTAATTTTCTTGCATCTTCTATCAACTTCTTTATTTATTGTAATTTAGATTTAATTGATTGAACAATCATTGGTTGAATAGCCGGGTGATAATATTTGTTTAGGTAATGATTTACATTAAATTTATTATGAATTATAGAACCGCTAGTTACCCGATTACTTGTTCTGATTTCGACGGGAAAGGGCGCGTGTCTAAAATCCCCGGTCGGCTATTCTTCAACATCCAAACCGTAGTTTGGATCCTACAACAATGACCTTTTACATAATTCCGAATTTCAGATAGATGAAGACAATGAAAATCAGGATGCTAGACAGCTGAGATGTAACTGAGTTGCAGATAAACGTAGATTACATTATAAACACATGAACAGACGATCAATGAGTGGTGGGTTTAGAGAATAACTAATACACTTACTGCACAGCTAATAATGGGATGTTATGTTTAAACAGTGATAATAAAGCAATACAATCTCACACTTCGTGATTTGAATTTGAGTTGTTTGTTGTGTCTTGGTGAAGTTCTAGACATATTGGGACTAGCACTATTTCGTTATATTGAAGGATCCTTCAAACGTCATGACTTTCTTTCAAGAAGTCGACTTAGTCAGAGTTTATGGCTGCATCCCGATAACTCTCCTAACGTCTTACGAATTTCTGCGTATCTTCCTGTGCAGAAAGCAGAGTGAAAACTTGTAAGGGATCCATCAAAGACGTTTTAAAAAAACGTGGCTTCAGAAATTCATATTTTGAGAGATTTTTTATTGCATAACCAAACATTGAATCTCATATTCAGCATCAGAACCTTCTTTTTCATCAACTTGAACAACATGCCATAACTTTAGACTATGAAATATGTCAATTCGAGTCTATCCATGGTACTTTTACTAGCCTTGTACACAGTTGAGCGCTCATTATGAATCGTGCTCGTCTAGTTCTATCTGCTCTAAATCTAATTATTACAAGAAATACTTTTCAACACATGAATTCGAATACTGCTTATTATCATACTACCTTAACATTTTTGGGCATAGTATCAACGCTCAGAGTATGTGTTCACTGAAATCTAAATGGGAGCCGTTCCAGATAAACTGAAATCATCTAGTGTCAAGTAATAACGGAATTTCAACGAACTGTTAGGCTTTCATTATAGGTTCACGCCTAATTACCAGCATCTTATGAGATCCTTGACAGATCAACGTAGTTGGAATACAAGAGAAGTCGAAATGATTCGCAGTGCAACGGAGGTAATCTTTACAGGAATAGGTATTACTGACAAGTTAACTCTACTTGCATTTCACAACACTAAAGCATGAAAAGGTAAAAATCTAACTATGTGACTTGCTCTCAGTCACGCATAAATGTTGCGGTAACAACTACTTCAATACGTTTTAAAACTTATCGTATACAAGTGTTTGATTAACTATCGCAGTTATTACGGCGCAACAAAGCTGGTAAGATATGAGTAAAGATGTGACGGATTGAGCACATAGCACATAGAGTGTGTATTTACTAAAAACTTACTTAACACGTTTATCGCCAAAATTTTCGACATAAATCACAAAGTGGATTGTAGTGGTACAGAAAAATTTCCTATTGGAGCTAGTAGATTGGAATTATCGTGAAAAATTTAGGTACTGCACAAAGTTTTGTTATGAATTTTCCTATTCAGTATTGCGTGAAATCGAGATTCAAGATGAAGCGGCTCATAGATCACCAATCTCTAAATCGGCACTTCTCAGTGTATTACTTAATCTTGTTTGAACATACCAGATTGAAGGTCATCGTTTAGCGATAATACATTCGACTTCATTTGGAACGTATGAACTAGTGAAAATGAAGTTGATGTTCATATATTTAGTGGGATTGTCTTTGAGACTGCTAGGTATGATATCGAATTTCTCACTAAAACTTCATTTAGTTGCAGCTACTGCTAATGTGGAAAGTGTCAAAGGTATCTTAAATATCGATTTTTGATTGTCCATTCTTCTCCAAAATAATAGTGTGTTTTACGCATATGAACAGCATAGGAGGATATCCTAAAGAAGGTTCTTACGAAATGATCAAATTGATCTTGGACCAAAATTGCACACATATAATAGGAAACCTAATCCTTACTGGTCTTTACCGGAAAGGTAACTCTTGATAATCATTATTGCGCGGTATACTGCGCGTCGTATACTGTTTCTTGGTTTATTATGTTGATGAAATTGTATACCGCTATTATTGATAACATTTTGGTACGCTCTAAATAATTAGCCATTTCTTTTTACGGACTATTATCATTCTACTTCCCAACATTTCATTCGCTTGATAGCATTTCCAACGACTCTTTCTCTCTCATCCTTTTGGATATTCATAAAAAGGATTGATGGGTACGAGTATATTCGTATTAACGTGAGACAATAAATGACATGCGAACAATAAGCCTAGGCACAGATGGTGCTTGAGTTGTATAAAGTATTTGTGATAATATTAGATATTGAATAGACCGTGCGGGTTTTTGAATCGTTTATTTCATGCTCAGTAAGCATTTTATTGTCTCGACAGATGAAGTTTGATTTACTCTTGTTTAGCCATTACGAAACACCAAAGATGGATTTGTGGCATCTCAAAAGTCTCCAGAGCCTAAGAGAAAGGCTGACTAAAATTCTTCTTTTAAGTTTTATTCAGATGACTTTATTAGGCTGCGTGTAATCTGTAATCTCCAACACTTTGCTTTCAAAAGTAGAATTTGCCTTTGCAGAAATTTTGTGAGTTTCATATGTCATATCTAGTAAACTAATGATCGCCTTTTTATTCCTTTCTTTATCTACATTGACTTAACCTTTAATTATGATCTGCTAAATAGGTTTCAGCTTTATAGGAAGCCAATTTAATACACGAAATTTGTTCATAAATTTTAAGGTTTATTTTTTTCGATTGTTATCTACTTAACTGTAATGCCTGTGGGCGTAATTGTTGAGCGACTGATTACTTAGTGAATAACCCTTGTCAGCATTGTAAGTAATGCTATTTCTGTACCGGAGAGAGCATTGATACTAACGAAGGAACCTTTAGTAGACGATTTCATGTTCATAAAAGACACAGTTACCATATTTCACTAACTTTAATCATATAAACACAAGCTAAAAAGCGTTGATTGTCTTTGTAAATAACACAGGTCTTACTCCCCTGTAAAAGTTCGACTTTAATTGACAAATGTGACTCTGAAGACATTTTTCATCCAGTTAAAAGGTGCATATGTGTGGTTAATATCTGAATAAATGTGGAGCTTGTCGGAATACAACTCGATAGGTTCTGTGAAAAAATTGATTTTGTGTTTAGTCAGTTCTCAAGAAACGATTTACCACCGTACATACGAATTATGTGTTTTCATAAATGTGATGTAGGTTAGTTACTAGAAATTAAGTTCTTGTAGGTACCTCAACTCCACCCTAAAATTATATTTAAATAGTCCGATTTAGAAGCTGTAAGTTTCTACGAACGCTTATGGAGTTATATAAGACTAGATTGTTCACGTTTCAATAAATGTTTTAGGTTAAAAACTAGTATTTAATTCTTTAGATTATTCGAAGTGATTGTATTCATTCAATCCGAATTTCTAGACAAATGGACTAAATGCAATGTCAGTGTGCATGGATAAGAAATATGCAGTCTATTTTCTGAGATTTCAGAACAACTGATGTCACGTTCAATATAAGGTAGCCGAGATTCAATAAGAATAATAAGATATTGTTGGCTTATTAACGACCAACGTCTCTTGTTTAGGGAATTCAGGTACAATTTAGTTAAACTTTAATAAGTCACCGGCCGTAAGAATTGCAGAAGGTCATCAGGATTATTGGTGGAAACAATATTAAAATGAAGCCAGCTAGCAATTGTGTAATGAGAAATACAGGTGTTTAATACTTGATCACTTAACCAACCTATCCTCTGAGCTGTTATACACCACTCTTTTCTTTACCAAAACAACCTACTTTGGTACATTTTTACGTTCATTCTTGTTTATCTGTCTTCGTTATACTTTTTATCGCGTCGTACGATTTCGCTACATTGTCAGTAATGTTAAATAATTATCACACTTTGGTCAAAATTCCGTTTATGCAATCGTTTGCACAACTATTGTTTTAGCATTATACGGAATTATTCATTAACTCCCTTCACTTTCTATACATCTGGAGTAACTACTCGGCGTATGAGTTTTAGGATAGTATTTTATACAGGCTTCTCAAAATATGTGGTTTAAACCGTTTTCTACATAATAGTTTTTATCCTCATGGAAAGCACAACAGATCAGACTATGGGCGTACGATATTATCTTTCACAACAAGCTTGTCAGTAGTTAGTATTCTGAGTGTTTAACCCTTATATCGCACTTAGTTTTTTAATCTAAAGCAGGAAATTGTTTTAGTTTTTCTGATGTAAATTAACGTGTTATAAACAATTAAGTATGCCCTCTTGGTAACATTTGAATTAAAATCTAATGTCATTTCTGATATTAACCACCGTTTGTCTTGGAAATAACTTTATTATTCGTGCATTACTATAGTTCATTATATTTAACCGATTATTTAAGATCTAAAGGAATTTGATATACGGATTTTCTGTGGATATGTAAAACGGTTAGCAAAGATATAAAAGGATTTATCAATGTGCGCAAGTAATAATTTGTTATATTTCCAAAGTTCGCAGACAGTCGAAATAGTGTGACTTAAAATATTAAAGTGAGATAGGAAAACTTGTCATATTCTAAAAGAATGTTTGTTCGTATATTCAGGACGGAATACTTGAACACCGTTATGGAGAATCACGTGGTTGAAGTCAAAGACCCTCGAAAACTTATTCCTTTGTATCCTCTGAGTTTGTTGACTCTTGAAACTATCAATTGAAGCAAAATTTTTGTCACATGTTTTCTTCTTAAGTTCTGCTTCATGACCATGCTCAAACATTTTCAGGTACATCCTGCAATTAATCAATCAACCAGAGTGAGGTTAGATATTCTTTATCTAAATCGGAATATTAAACTCGTGATAGAAACTCAGTCTCTTTTGGGCATACCTAATTTTCCGTTTTCCGATTACTGGCTAGTTTAGACTTATTAACTCCCATCAATATACTGTTAAGTTAAGTTTAAAATGTAATTGAAATTAAAATGGGATGACTTTTGAGATGATATGAATTGAATAGAGCGATTATCGCTAGTCGGGTGAGGTCAGCAGGTTTGTGAGTAAATCTTTCTTCGAAACCTGAGTAACCCGTAAGTGAGGAATTACATACCTCCCTTTTAATGTCCACGGTGTCAGTAAGTAAAAACCCGGTTCTTAGTTATATGAGATATGAATTGCAGTCAACAACGTTTTATTCCTCAGCGCTTTACACCTTTCCGTATAGTACACTTAAAAATATTGTTCATCACCATTTTTATCAGAGTTCTCATATTTTTTATAGTGTTATTCAAGTTTCAATCAGAAATTTCAAATTATAAAATCTGGTGACCACTTTATAAACAATTGTCTGTAGTTTCCAGTTTCTTGACGTTCGTTAGATGGATTGAAAAATTTAAATGTTCAGAATACGAACAAGAGATTGACTACGGTGATATTCATCCTTAGGTTTATAAAAGATGGAAAATTTGACAACGGATTTACAGAGAATGCATGCAATCTAATTCCGACATTTGGCTTCATTCGGAATAAAATCTAGGTTTTAAACTATTTTCCATATTTTAGTTGTCGAATAAAATTTGAATGATTCAACTGAATGGTTGGAAGTTCGTTTCATCACTTGAGGTAAGCAGAGAAACAACGTGAATCAAAAATAAAGAGATACGCAGCAGAGTTGACTCACTCGCTTTCTCCGCTACGTGTCGCTTCGGTTCTGATTGTCTGTTAGGATCAACGAGTATATGAAATATACACACCCATAACGCGTTCTCGTGTTTGGTTTATTTTATTCCGTTATTCACTGACACAAATTAAGTCGATAAAAATATACGAGGGTTGGCGGTTTGTATATTTCGATCACAATCAACATACGATTTAACTGTAGTCAGATGTAGGGCCACTAAAAGTGCTATGAACTAAAGGATTGTCCAATGTGTCTATCTTTCGAGAAAATTGTTAGCTTATTACCTTTTTAATAATCTGCATTTTTCATCAGATGCGTGTTTTTGTATATAGCATATCAAGATCATGAAAAGCTAAACTTTTGAAGATGATCGCATTTTATGTTTTTGTCAAGAGTATTATTTAATATATTTCTGTTGGCACTTGTAACACGTGTTGGGATACAGAAATTATACTTAAATAATTCGTTGCAAATGGAACGTTTTATTCACTCTAATTTACCTTGTACAACTTTTCAAGTTGTTCTGTTTGACATTAACAAATGACGTATACTTTTTGCCAGTACTTTAGACTCAACAAAATAATGTTTCGATATTATTAAAAATTATGAGGTCAGATTCCCGAAATAAATGAATAATATGTAAGACATTTAGAATAAAGGTATTATATGGCTTACACCTTCGTTCAACATTTTCAAAAATATGTAAGTTTTCTAACAATGTTCAAATTATGTAGCTGCTATTAACAGGATAGTACTTAACGATAATATTGATTTTGTATTCTCCTTTCATCGACTATTTGAATCAGTTAAACTATTGTAAGAAAATACAAAATAATGCTTATAGTTCACTTGCAGCAACCTTCAATGCAAATGGTATCTGGAATAATGCTACTGCTTCCTAGCTATAGTGATGTTCAAATTCTGTGAGGTCTCCTTTTTGAAATCTCAGACTGTTACTTATGTTTTCGACGTAGTTGAGTAATGTCATCTTTTCAGTGGAATTTAGGAAGACGGTTATAGTTATATTTGCTAACTGTGATCATGTCTTTGTAAAATCTTTGTTAAAAATATGATCTTGTCATGTCTACCCAGTTTTAGCGGACTGCTTTATAGTTAGTGTCCATTAGTAAAGTTAGACTACTCATGATTTTGGAATGATTTAATCAGTGAATACAAACTCGAATCTTTTTGTTTGGTTCCGAAAGGTTCGGAAGTTTGTCCATTGCTTATAGGCAAAATAAACAACTCTTTAGAAAAAAAACTTACCTTGTTTCAGGAAGTTACA